TGATTGTGTGGACGTGAGCCTTCTCCTCCCCGCCCCACCCCCCCTTCAGCCCAGCCTCCCGGGAACTGGCCAAACTTTGGGGGGAGGATTTAGACGTCCACAGGATGTGGAATGGATGTTTGAACCAGTTTTATTTAGGGAGGCTTCAGCTGACATGGGAGTTACGAAATAAACAAAGCCATTGCTAAAAAAAAAAAAAACAAAAACAAAAAAACATCATATCACGAAGACCTAAGTAGGTAGTCAGGTAATTGGCACCTTAGAACACCCAGGCCAGAGGGGTTCTGTACTGTGAGCTGGTGTAATGGCAGAGCTTTGCTCTGTTCTCGGGCTCTCTGGCTCCTGGCCCCTGTTCTCACTCCGTGCCTGGGAGCAGAAAGCAGTGATGCTGGTTAGAAACAGGCTGGATCCTCACGCGTCTGTCTGTCCTTGAGCACCGGGTGCTCCTGGACGTCCCGGGCTCAACTCTTCCCTGAGCTACTCCCGCGGGAGGCTTAGGGGTGATCCATGACTAGCTCTGTTGATGCACTGAGCTCAGGAGTGTGTATGGTGGGGGTGAGGAGGACGTTCCTCCCCCTTGGGACAAATTTTCCCTAGTAAGGAGGAGCATGTAAGAAACAAATTCATGAGGAAGCTCGTCAGGGTCATAAAGCTACCTTTCCTGAATGTCAGAAATATTCTTCGTTTCCATCAAAGAATTTTGGCCCCAAACCAAAGGGGTGGAGACATCGGGGCCATCTGGGCAGCCATAGAGGAAGAGAGTTTATCGGACCCACTGTTTTCCTCTTCTCTAGATAAAGACGTGTGTTGACGGGTGTAGAGAGGGGGAGGTTTCCTGAGTGCAAAGTGCCGAGGTGCAAACCCTGAGATAAAAAGTCATAAATAGACCGAGGGCCTGACCGGTGCCAGGCTCAGTGTCCTTGAGCCGGTAACACTTGCAGGCCAGGTCCCAGGTGGGGGGGCCGGGGCTGAGCAGCTGCTCTGGAAATTTCCACGGGCCGTCCACCAGCTCCCGGGAAGCTCTGGGGCTCCTGACGGCGTGGAGTTACGAAACAGACACAAGATGTGGTCCCAGCTCACAAGGAGCTGGGCCCCTGGAGAAGAGGCTCGGGGACGTTTGCCAAGAAAGCAAGTGAACCAGCAGGTTGGAAAAGTCTTAAAGCTGTAAATAATGTCAAGGCATGGGCTCAGTCAAGAAAATGTCAGTATCCCCTTCCAAGTATTAGAACCCATTTCACCTTTCAAGGAAAATGGAAGTATAAATTTCATGTTAAGGTAAAAGCTGATTTTGGTAAAAGCCTGGCCGGCTCAGTTGGAAGAACGTGGGACTTTCGATCTTGGGGTCATGGGTTCAAGCCCCACGTTGGGTGTGTCACAAACAATATATCAGTTGTGTTTTTTTAAAGGAAAAATGTTTACAATTCGTTACCAGTTGCTAGAGTCTGAGATGTTCTTAGGAAATCGGGTTAAAAACAAAGTCTTTTTAAAAAGTTTTTACTTATTCATTTTATTTTATTTATTTATTTATTTATTTTTTTAACGTTTATTTATTTTTTTTGCGACAGAGAGAGACAGAGCATGAACGGGGGAGGGGCAGAGAGAGAGGGAGACACAGAATCAGAAACAGGCTCCAGGCTCTGAGCCATCAGCCCAGAGCCCGACGCGGGGCTCGAACTCACGGACCGCGAGATCGTGACCTGGCTGAAGTCGGACGCTTAACCGACTGCGCCACCCAGGCGCCCCTTATTTATTTTATTTTAGAGAGAGCGCGCGTGTGCACGAGTGGGGACGGGGCAGAGGGAGAGAGAGAGAGAGAGGGAGAGAGAGAATCTCAAATAGGCTCAGGCTCAGCGTGGATCTCACGACCCTGGGATCACGATCTGAGCTGAAATCAGGAGTCAGGAGTCAGACCCTCAACCGACTGAGACACCCAGGCTCCCTGTATTTAAAATCATTTTAAATACAGAAATTTACGAAGAGACATCAGTTCCCAAAGGAGGTGCATGTGGGGTTCTCCTCCCTAGTAAGGTTACATGCGTGTGCCCGTGTGTGAACCCACAACACTCCCACGTACACTGGTCGGGAAGACGCTTTGGGTTCCAAGTAGGAGAAACCATGAAGAGAAGTTATTGGTTCACGTCGTTCAAAAGTTAAATGATAGATCAAGCTTCCAATATGGTTTAACCAGGGCTCCAGCCCCATTTCTCGGACTCTCTCTGCTCTGTCCTCCTGTGTGGCCTGGATTCCTTTTTAGGCCGGCCTTCTGCCTGTGAACAGCAGCTGGGCTGGGAACTGAACAACTCAGGTGAATTTCTTGACGCCCGGTTGGAGGACCGGGGGGCTATTGCTTCCTGGGAGCACAAGTCCTGCCCTTGATTCTGGTTGGGCCAACCAGGACCGGTCGCCCTGGGGATACCGTGTGCTGATTGGCTCAGGCTCAAAGACAACCTGTCGCCGGGGCAAGTGAGTTGAGGTCGGCTTACACCACAGGGGGCCAGCCCTGGAATTGGGTGAGGCTGTTGCCTTTGGCCCTGGTGGCCACAACTGGGCGGAGGGGAGAACCAGAGGTGTTGGCAAGACTTTCCCAATGCCTACCACACCTCGGTAGCAATTTTTAAAAATTTATTATTATTCATTTAATAATTTTTTAAAAGGTTATTATTTTTTTTTTGAGAGGGAGACAGAGAAAGCATGAGCAGGGGAGGGGCAGAGAGAGGGAGAGGGACTCCGAAGCAGACCCTGCGCAGAGCCCGGTGTGGGGCTTGAACCTATGAAACTGTGAGACCGTGACCTGAGCCGAAATCAAGAGTCTGACGTTTAAGAGCCACCCAGGCGCCCTGCAATTTTTGTTTTTAAGTGTAAGAGGTACTTTCTGGGTGCAAGGTCCCATGGGAGATGTCGAGATACACAGTTTACAATGTATTTGAAATAGAAAGATGAGCTGGCTAAGAACTAAATTACACCATTAGGTGTAATGTTGACAAGAATATTCGCGTGCTAAAACCAAGTGGCGTAAAAGTGAAGGAGACAGACTGCATCTGGCTGAGGGGACCAGAGAGGCATCACGTAGCGAGTTAACATTGGAATCGGGTCTCAAAGAGTGAGTAGGAGCCTAAGGCTTGCAGGTGTGCGGGGAGGCCATGGGAGGGAGGGCAGTGGTAAGAGCAAAGCCCCAGAGGCAGAGAGCCCAGGAGAGGGGCAGCCCAGATTCGAGAAGTTGCTGCCGAGTCAGGAAATGTTAGCCCAGTCCAGAGAGATCCCGATCAGGTGACACCCGAAGAGGTAGGAACTTACCCCCAAAGTCAGGGTGCAGGATGATCCTGCCTCGTATTTCCCCCCCCCCCGTAAAGAACTGGCTTGGGGGCCCCTGGGGGGCTCAGTCAATTGAGCATCTGACTCTTGATTTCAGTTCCGGTCTTGATCTCACAGTTTGTGAGTTTGAGCCCTGTATCAGGCTCTGTGCTGACAGTGCGGATCCTGCTTGGGATTCTCTCTCTCCCACCCCCTCCCCCTTCCCCTGCTTGTGCTCTCTCTTTCTCTCTCTCTCTCAAAAAAAGAAAAAGAACAACAAAACTGGCTTAATTCCCCCTTGGCCTTATTAGCAGGAAGTTTAGTATCTGTTTGAAACCCAGAGGCTTCCACAGCCCTAAGTAGGGGGCCGCAGTCAGTCTGACCTTCAGATGCAAGCAGGGACCACTGGTCTCTGGTCTGGCCATCATAGGAGTGAGTCCCCAGGCCTCTGTGACTCCTCAGGAAGGACAGCTGCATTTTGTCACTTTGACCTTGGAGAACAGTGCCCCTCACTGGTGGTTCAGAGCCATGACCTCAGAGCTCTGCCTTTCAGTTAAATTCACACCCACCCACTGCTTCCACTCTCCTCCCCGCCCCCCCAACAGCTGCCCCAGGGACTCGGGGTAAGAGGTACTTTGGGGGCACCCTCGTGGATGCGGAACTCCGGACCTCTGTCCTTCCCTGGGGCCCACAGCACCAGGAGGCCGGGAGCTTTTCCGTGTCAGCCACACCATCCCCAGCAACACGGTTATCCGCCCTCCCTTCTACGACTACCCCCCTGCACACCCTTTCCCCACCACATGCACACTCCTGGGAGCCTTGGGGTGCAAAACTATGTCGCCCTGACCGAGGCTGTCACTTTCACTGCCACAGAAAAGGAAAATAGAACCCATAGTTCAGTCCCCAGAGGGACATTCTGCCTTACCCAGACTAGTGGGTTCATACGTCTTGTCTCTTCCAGCCAGGGATTGCTTGTCCCACCCCAGGGGGCCAGGCTCTCTCTGTTCTTTTACTGAAAGTTCACATGAGGACGCCCGGGTGGCTCAGTTGGTGAAGTGTTCGACTCTCGATTTCTGCCCAGGTCACCATCTCGCAGTTTGTGAGTTCGAGCCCGCACTGGGCTCTGCGCTGATGGTGCGGTGCCTGCTGGGATTCTCTCTCTCTTCCTCTCTCTCTGCCCCTTCAGCGTACTCTCTCTCTCTCTTTCTCTCTCTCTCTCT